CTCTTGAAAAAGCTTTATTCTGAGGCCTGTGGATGAGGGTGCCGGATCCCAGCTCATTTCTAGCGCATTTCAATGGCCATTTGTAAAACTTAGCTGATTTTTATGTGGATGAATAAGCAACAGGTGATGGTACAATTTTGCAATTTACGCCAGTGCATTTCCATTGCTCCTCACAAGTGCAATGTTCTTCTGTTTGGCCACTTCAGGACACTCTCTGTAGACTGCCTAAAGACCAATAGGAACCATCCAAACTACCCTTCTTTTAATACATTCTAATTGCCATCTTAACATTTCACGTATTTCTATGGCAATACATTCAGATGGCTCTGCTCAGCGACAGTTATGCAAGTCATCACTGTCCATAGAGCTCTTTGGTGCATTTGGAATTCATGAAAGGTACATTTCGAGTTCATATTTGTTACCACTTACTGTGATGGTGAGAGGGGTTTAAAAAATCAATCAATCAATAGTTGAATGGCTATATTGCCAAACCAGAATGAACTTCAGTGGCAGGGATGATGTTAAGGGGTGGCTGAGCCTCATTCAGCATGGCCCATGGTCAGGAATGATGGGAAGTGTGCTCCTACAACATCTGGAGAGCCACAGGTTTTCCATCTCTGAACTAAGGAGGGGATCGGCTCTTTTCTCACCATCTTAGAACAGCTCTACCCATTACAGTTCTGAAAGAAACGTACGGTAAGCACTGAGTTTCCGGCAGCATGCTTGCAATGTGTGAACATCATAAGCAACTGACAAATGGTAATATTCAAAAAATCAGCGGGGGGGGGGACCCCTCAGACTCTCAGGACAGTCTGTAAGTGGCTGTACTTGAACAAAGGAACTTTAAAGAAAGACCGCAATGTGAAATCATCAAGAGGGTCAGTGCTATCACTTGTGGATTGAACTGGATTTTTATTATACTACATATGTTAATTGGCTTACCAATGGCCTAATGTCTGCGTTATCAACATGTGTTTTGTGAATTACCACTGTTAATTATATAATTATCGCTGTCTCTGTATTTTATGCAGTTCATTTCTCTCTGACCTCGCTGTTTACAACCCCAAATGTGTAACGCACACACACAGCAGTAACCTAGGACATTTCATCTGATTAAATGGATCGCACTATGTGAATGCTCGTGTGATAATGAATTTGTCAATGTGCCACAAGTGTTACTGTGGTTTTTGTGTATCTTTAGACATTAATATGTCTGGGAACACGTGTTTAGGAAACCTAACTTACCCAGTGGCCATAAACTAGATCTGCGCATATTTATGTGCAAAAGAGATGTTTAATGTCAGAAACAGTGCTCCCCACATCCATTGTAATGTATTGAGTTGCTTTTATTTCATTTTTGAAGACTACATTTTTAAAAAGAAATTTGGGGTTAAACTTAACTGATTTGGGGTTAAACTTAACTCTTGCAGATGGTGCTAAATGCATCAGGAGACAAGTGTCGCCAGTCCCTGTTCCATTGTTGTGACATACACATATTTTATAATATCAAAGTATATCCAACACAACAACTGTTACAAACAAGAGGCAAAAGGAGAGTTGTTGTTCTTTAACCAACCTTTTAAAAAGGTACACTCTGGTTGTACAAGATCAAAAGTTCCAAAGTACATCTGTAACTGGATACAAAAAATTACTTTTATCTAAAAGCTCACTCTAATCACGATGAAAGCCGCCCAACTAGCAACATTAAAACCCTCCAGGCTGTAAGGGAGTTTGTTTCTCAGGTAATTTTCCCTTGTTCCCAGGACCCAGTTCCCTGCAACAATAGTACATGTAACAGTAATCTAAAATACCAGAGCAGGTGAACCTTAAATGGTTCAAAATCCAGTGGCAGAACAGGTTATAATGGCTGACATAAGATTTATTAGGAAACCAGAACAAAGCATAATTCCTGGCTGTAGCAAAAGAAGCAAAATCAGTACACTACTAATTCTGCCTTGTACTTTCTCTTTCCTGTGATGACATTAATAAGGACAAGGCAGGAATACATGCTTATGCTATCTGTTTCTTGTTTGTTTCTTTTTCCTCCCTTCTTTCATAAACGAGATAAGGCTGACATAAGCATAATAAAAGTTAATTTGGGGGCTAAACTAAATTTGGGAGAGCTGGGTGGATCTTTGAACCCCTGCAGCATATATGCTAAGGACAGTGCTGGATCCAAGTCTGGGAAACCCTGCCCTAGGTCTCCTCCTCCAGGGGTTGTGGACTACAACTCCCATCAGCCAGTTTGGTCAGGGATGGCGAGAGAGCTGCAGTCCAAAGCATACAGAGGACACCATAATAGATAATAGAACCATATAGTTGGAAAGGACCACGAGGGTAATTTAGCCCAACCCCCTGTGATGCAGGAATCTTTCCCCCAATGCAGGGCCCTGCCTTAGGACCACATGCCACATTTGAAGCACAATGGTTCATTGTAGGACTGCCAAAAGCTAGTGTCAGTCTGCTGCCAGTTCCTCCCTCGCTCTCTCGAGCTGAGGAGGCAAACTAGAGTGACATAAGACATGCTGTGAAGCTAGGGTGGGGTGCGGGGGTGGGGGGTGGCAGGGAGTGAGGCAGTATCTGAACAGAACCAGTAAACAGCCTATTGGGCTCTGAAGCTGCTCAATCTGCAGCTGACTGACAGCCGGAACCTATGAACCTTTAAATAAGAGATGAAAGAAATCCCACTGGGAGCTGGCAGGAAGCAGCAGATCCATTGCCAGGTGGGTGAGGAGGCATCAAGGGAGCAGCAAGTTCTAATACCAGGAGCACTGGCGTTTTAAGAAATTTCCTTCTTCGTGGAACTTTCAAAGAGATGTAAGGCCAGCTCTCTGTCTGCGAAACAGGCTTTTCAAGGACTCTTTCTTATAGCCGAAGGAGGATGTGCAGACCAGTTCCTGGATGTTAATGATTCTTTGGAGAGTTCCTCCAGCACGTCATATTTAATTACTTTTTGGAAAAAGAAAATGGCCTTCAGGAAGCAACAGCCTGTTAAACTTTAGCATCTCCCCTCCCATTTCCACCGGTGGTTTCAGAAAAACAACCTGGGGGTGAGGTGGGGCGGGGGCGGGAAATTCCTACACTTGTTGCCAAATTTGTTCATCGAAAAAGCAGACACTAAGTGAGACAGCACATGAAAAAATATGATGAAGGAGCCAAGCCACACACTCCATCTCTCACCGCATGTTGTAGACAGCTCTTGTTCAGTACCTTTGTCCTGTGTAAGGAACCTGCAGTTGCTAGATATCATGTGTTGATCTCCCAGAGCCCTTTCTGCACTGAAATTATCCATGTGGAAAGAATGCCTTGTACATCAGTACATCTTGGACACTGGCTGCTCTCATGCACTGAATCGGATCCTAACAGAAAGGGCTTTAGGATACTTCCATTTATCTTGCACTACTGCGCTTCCTCTAGATCAGGCATGTCCAAAGTCTGTTTTGGGGGCCTAATTCGGCCCGCCAGTTGATTTAATCTGGCCCCCATGGCAGTATATGTCCTGAGGTAAAATCCTATAAAAAAAAGCTCAGCAACTTCAAGCCTAAAAGCTTCAATCCTAAAAACCTCAACAAGTTGGGGGTAAGATTGTAAAAAAAAGCTCAACAACTTTGGCTGACCCACACATACGTTCACCCCTGCTCTAGATCATGTGGAAGGCTGTGGAGCCAACCATAATCACAACCACATCACGCACATTTAATGCACATGACCCTGGAAACTGTAGTTTACCCCTCACAGAGCTACAATTGCTAGCACCCTTAACAAACTACAGTTCCCGGGATTATGTGGGTGTGCCTTAAATATGCACATGTGAATCAGCCGTCACAGATCAAGTACCAGAAACAGATTTTTGTGATACCGCTTCCAACACCAGGCTGTTGGAAGGACTCTATTGACACATTCACCTGCAAAGAATCGAGGGCTGCCCAATCAAGTGATGGATGTGCATTTGCAAACAGGCCCATAATATATTATAAATAGCACTGAGCCAGGAGGACAAGCAGCTGCCAATCTGGGCATGGCTGCAAGAGGGCAACATTCCAACAAAATGTGCTTAGAGGGGGGGGGGGAAACCTCCTTGTAACACAAGACAGGGTTTGCGCAAGTATTTGAGGAGTGCTTGTTCCCAAAAGGCATCTGCGAACTTCCCCACGCCTCTCTTCCAGATTGTGTCTCTCCCACGACAAAGCCTGTAAAGTCTTTACCAGCAATATAAGAGGGCAGATCAAGAGAATAAACAGCTCTTCCTTCCCCTTGGGAGCCAGAAGGGGGCCAGACGACTCTCTGCGTCGACACACTGAAACTTTTTGGGAACACCTGTTGAATAGCATCTGGGCTTAAACGCTTCCTCTGCAGTTGTTTTGATGGGATCCATTCTGCACGGATGCATTTCTCCGGCCCACCCTTCCCAGAATAATCACCATCTCCCTTGCACATGAAATTGACTTAGGAAAAGGAAGCATCGATATCCTGTTGGAGTAGCTTCCTTCCTAAGTTGTTTCTTGGCAGAAATAGAACTCTCCCTCTCTCTCTCTCTCTCTCTCTCTCTCTCTCTCTCTCTCTCTCTCTCTCTCTCTCTCACACACACACACACACACACACACACACCCCTCTCCTTGCTCATCATAATACAGTATGTACTAATTTGTCCCTTGCTAGCCCCATATACCACCAGGGTCTTCTCCTGCAATTTCACAAGGGCCCTCTCCGGAAAGATTTTGGAAAGGGTTGCCCAGATCCCGGACTCTAGAGCAGGGCTTCTTGGAGGGCGCATTTTGAAAGCCACGTTTTCTGAAACGTTCCGCCAACATCTCCTCGCAAACCTCCAAAGAACGCTGTTTAACTCCCGGGACCTCTTTCCTTTTCGGCTCGTATTGCTCAAAGGTCTGCTTAAGGCACATCAAAAGAAAACAAACCCGAAAAGAGACAAGAATCGAAAGCCGAAGCGCAGCCGTGCCGGTGGCGGCGGCAACCGCTGTCTCAAGACAAGCTCAGCTTACCTCCGGGAGCCCGCTCGCTCCTTTCCGGAGGTCTAGCGCCGTCTGGTTCCTCGCCGCTCGCCGCCTTGGCTCGGGCTGCTCAGGAAGTCGCCGGGCGCTCGCTCGCTCAGCAGAGCGAGAAGCTAAACTCGACGGCGCGTCCTACTATAGGACGAAAAAGAAGCTTCCTTTTCTCGCCCAACCGCAAGGCGACCGCGCCGATCGCCTCCGCGGCGTCTGCTGCTTGGTTTTTTTTCTCGGCGCCGAGGAATCGCAGAGCTGCAACCTTTCGCTGGCCTTCGCCGCCACCTCTCCAGCTCCAGAAGTCAAGTGGGGACGGCGGCAGCGGATGCAGCCGCTGCCAACAGCTACACTAAGGAGCGCCTGACTCACTCGCCCGGCGCGCTGCGCCCTGCCCAGTCCGGGAGATGTGCGCGTGGGTGCCTCTGTCCGAGGAGAGAGGTGGCTGCGCTGGGCACCTCTGCCCTGGCACCTCCAACAGGAAGAGGCCTCGGCTAAATAAAGAGACGGACACAAACAAGGTTGCTACGAGGAAATCGGGCAGGTGCTGCCCCGCTCCGAGGGCTTCCCGGCAGCGGGAGCAGCTGAGCCGGCCTCCCAAGATCTCTTGGCAGCAGAAAAAGATCTCGATCTCGTGGGCACAGCGCATGGCGGCCCCACTCAATCACTCGTTCCCAGGCCCCCTTTCAGCATTTCTGCGTGTTTCCTGTTCATCAGTTTCCTCCATCTGAGATGGTAAACTTTTAAAAAACTTTTTAAAAAAGAAAGAAAGAAGAAGTTGTATGTACTAACTAACAACCACAGACGCACATCCTTGTTTGGTGGGGCGCACAGCTGAACCCCAAAGTTCTGTTTTGACACCACTTCTGAGCAACTCCTCAAGCTAGAAACCAAAGATGGGCAGTGTGCTAACAAACCTTCATCCCAAAAGCCCATCACTCAATGGACAATTCATACAATAAACGTGGGCAGGCGAGTTGCAGTGTTCTTTCAACTAAGGCTCCCAGAGCATAGGAGCCAACTCCTAGGGACCTAGATCCCTTTGGTCCCCAATAAAATATTTGAGGGGGCTGCCCCCCAAGTTAACCGGCCTTGTCGTTCAAATGGTGTGTGTGTGTGTGTGTGTGCCACGTCTTGTGATCGATTATGTGGGGCAGGACTTACCTGCCCCCCCAATATTTTATTCAAGTTGGCACCCTACCAGATAGTGTCAGACTACAATTCCCATTGGCTAAGCTGGCTGGGCATGATGGGAGTTGTAGTCCAACAACACTTGGCGACTCAAGGTTGAAGAATGCAAGTGTAACAGGCATAGGGTGTAGTAGGGACCTATCCTGGGGAGATCTGGTTTCAAATTTCCACTCAGCCATGAAGTTTATTGGGGGACCCTGTGACAGTGGACACCTCTCAGCCTCAACAACCTCGCAAGGTTGTTGTGAATCTAAAAGGGGAACAGAGCACTCTATTCTGAAGAGGGGCATCTGAGCTGTTTTGAAGAGGAGTGGGATTTTTAAAAATGTGATAACATTCAATAAAGGCAACTGGTCATGATCATGGAGTAGAGAATGATTCTCCGACCTCTGAAGCTGCTCCAGTTTCCAAATTCCACCATCTTTGAGGCTGCAAACACACAATACCTTTAAAGCACATTAGAAAACACCCCCCTCTTCCCAATAATTGGTGTGTTAAGGGTTTTGGGGGATTGAGGGGTGAATGACAGTGCCCACAATTCTTTGAGAAAGAACGTCCTTTGAATAGGCTTTGAAAGCATAGTGTGTATGAAGCCTCGGTTTAGTGATCCAATCTCCCTCTCAAGGACCTTTGTGCACAGCTGCTCCTCAGCTCCTCAGAGGCTCAGTTCACTCCAGGCTCAGGTCCAAGTGAGGCTTCAGGGTCATCTCTTCTTAGATGTGCAGCCTTATTCTAGATCATATGTTCAGGGGTCTGTCACAGAATCATCCTGATTTAACAGAGTATGTTGCAAGCACATGGCAAAAGTGCAGGGACAACAGGATCCTTATATGGGAAGATCTGAACCCCCATGGGTTTAAATGTTTACCAGTGGCACTTTCCTGCAGATGCAAAGCAGGAAGCCTTTCAAGAGAGTGCTTGCAGTATCTGATTTCTAAAAGTTAAACAAACTCTGTAACGAATAACTCATGCATGGAGCTTGATTTATTCCCCTTCCTCCTTCCCAATCCCTTTTCCTTTTGTGCTGTGCCTTTTGCGCTGGAAACCTCAGGGCAGATCACCTGACATTTATAAGCTGATCTGGGAGAGGGCTAATAATAATAATAATAATAATAATAATAATAATCTATACCCCACCCATCTGCCTGGGCTTCCCCAGCCACTCTGGGCAGCTTCCAACAAAATATTAAAATACAGTAATGCATCAAACATTAAAAGCTTCCCTAAACAGAGCTGCCTTCAGATGTCTTCTAAAAGTCTGGTAGTTGTTTTTCTCTTTGACATCTGTTGGGAGGGTGTTCCACGGGGTGGGTGCCACTACCGAGAAGGCCCTCTGCCTGCTTCCCTGTAACTTGGCTTCTCGCAGTGAGGGAACCACCAGAAGGCCCTCAGCGCTGGACCTCAGTGTTTCTGCTTTGGCTGAAGGGTATGGGGGGAAAATGCTTTAAAGAAATAAATATCCAGCAGATCATTGAAGACTGGTTTAAAAGGCAAGAAATAATTCATACAGATGAGGACAATGAAGATGAGGACTACACACTACACACTACACAATCTCACTCCCATTTCTGCAGGAAATTATCATCCAATGGTGGCAGGTGTCCATGGAGCTGGTAGGGCAGAAGGCAGGGAGACCAACTGCTTGCTGGCTGTCTCCCATCTGTTGCTTCCACTCTGCACACAACCCACCCTTAAGCAGGAAACTAGATGATATGTTGAGTATATTCATTTATTAGATTTTGGGAAGCAGGGTGAGGAGAGAATTGGATTAGGTTAATAATAGTGGGGTAACAGTGTCTTGCGGGTGGCGCTGTGGGTTAAACCACAGAGCCTAGGACTTGCTGATCAGAAGGTCAGCGGTTCGAATCCCTGCGACGGGGTGAGCTCCTGTTGCTCGGTCCCTGCTCCTGCCAACCTAGCAGTTCAAAAGCACGTCAAAGTGCAAGTAGATAAATAGGTACCGCTCTGGCAGGAAGGTAAACGGTGTTTCTGTGCACTGCTCTGGTTCGCCATGTGGGAATGTTCTGGGGTGCAGGGAAGGATATATTGACTAATTATATCCTGATCCAACTTGTGCTAACAAGTTCCCAAAATATCAGCAGAGTTTACATACATTCCCCTTTAGTACGCAACGGTAACGTGTGCACAGGTTCGCTAGAACCTCTATAATAATTACCCTGGTAATTTCCCCTTTAGTTCCCTCTTAAAATACAAGACACGACACAGTCTTCATAAAAGTATAAAAGAGTTTACTCACGTCCTGTTCACAATGTGATCCCAGACGGCAGACAGGCTTAAAAGGTTACATAGATTTAGAATCTATCTCATAGCAAGATAGGCCTTATCTCCTCTCTTGGCTGGGAGCCAAGAGGGCATCCTTAGGTGTTTCCTCGTCGAAGGAAAATGGCAGAGAGAGAGAGATGGCTGCCTGCCCTGTGCTTTTTTTGTCATCACCTGCACAGGTGAGGCCACACCCACCTCTAGTCACATGTGGAGGAAGTCCGTCCCCAGGAAGTTTACCTGCTTGCTGGACAGACATCCCCACCATGTTCTAACATGTACACTCTAGGAATGTTGTCATTGACTGCTCCTGTGTTTACATCCCACATACCCCTTCTCAGGCAATACAACATATACAAAATATAAACAACTTTATTCAACCACCCAGAGTCCCAGCTTGACACGTAGATTCTGGAAACTCTCTCTTGGTAGGGGTTTCGTCAGGATGTCAGCAGTCATTTCTTGGGTGCTGCAGTAGGATAGTTCCACAAGTCCATCCTGGATCATCTGGCGTATGTAGTGGTATTTAACCCCAATGTGTTTTGTTCTGGCCAGGAACTTCTCACTCTGCGTCAGCTTCAGGCAACTCTGATTGTCCTCTAGCAAGCTGACAGGCCCTTTTCTCACCAACCCAAAGTCCTTTATGAGTTGATCAAGCCAGGCGATCTCTCTGCAGGCTTCTGTTGCTGCAACGTATTCTGATTCTGTGGAAGATAATGCTACACAGCTCTGTTTATAACTGCCCCACGCGACAGGTCCATCACCAAACATAAAAACATGACCACTCGTTGATTTATAGTCAGCATTATCCCCAGCCCAATCAGCATCTGTATACCCAACCAACTTAGGGTCTTTGACAGCTGGTAACCTTAATTTACAATTCATGGTACCCTTCAAATATCGCACCACCCTCTTTACACCTGCCCAATCATGCTCAGTGGGAGAATTCACTTTTCTGCTAAGAATCCCCACAGCATTAGCTAAGTCAGGTCTACATGTGGTAACTAAATACAAAAGTTTACCAATCGCCGACCTGTAGTCATTGTTGTCTGGCAACTGCTTCGAATCCTGCTGATTCTTCAGGAAGTCAGTAGCCATCGGTGTAGCAACTGGATGTGCATCTGCATGTGCTCAACTAGCTCGTGGATCTTCTGTCTTTGGCTGAGAAGAAATGATCCGTCCTCTTCTCTTTCCACCTGAATCCCGAGGTAATACTGGACATCTCCTAGCTCCTTGACCTCCACCTCCTTGCTAAGGTGTTTTACTATCTGTGTATAGTCTTTCTCACTTGCTGTGGCAATAATCAGGTCATCAACAAATGCTAGGATATATGAGAATTGTCCATTATTTGACTTACTGTACAAGCACTTGTCAGCGTCGCCTTGCTTGTACCCAAGTTGCGTCAGCATTTTATGCAACTTCTGGTTCCAGGCTCTAGCAGCCTGTTTAAGTCCATAAAGTCCTTTCTGCAGCTTGCACACTAGATGTGCCTCATGTGGTTTTACAAAACCTTTGGGCTGTTTCATGTAAATTTCTTCAGAAATCTGCCCATGTAGAAAAGCGGTAGCAATGTCTATGTGTTTTGCTCTCATTTTCTTGGAGGCTGCAATGCTTAAAAGCATTCTTACGCTGCTGTACCTCACAGTTGGTGCAAAAACTTCATCATAGTCTTCACCAAAACGCTGTGAAAATCCCTGTGCCACAAGTCTAGCTTTGTAGCACTGCACTTCTCCTTCTGACCCCTTCTTAACCTTGAAAACCCATTTACTGCCAATGGCCTTCTTACCGGGAGGCAGCTCAGTGAGTGTCCAGGTCTTGTTCTGATGCAGTGCATCCATCTCCTCCTGCGCGGCCTTCCTCCAGAGACTGGCTTCTGCAGCTGGCATCTCCTGTATCTCTTCCCAAGTGGAAGGTTCCTGTGGAAACGCCGACCCTGCAAGGTAGGACAACCGTACTGGTGGGACACCTCTGTTGGTTCTGGATGAGCGTCTGACCTCTGGTTCTGCGACCGCATCAGCTTCCTCATCCTCCTCCAACGCAGGCATGTC